CAGGTGACGACGGTGGTAGATTCCTTTGGATCGACTTCGGCCCTCCAAGCGGCGAACAGGTACGAATTACCCCACCCTGTAAAAATGAGAAGTGCTGAGATAAATACAAGGCTCATAGTGAGTCATGGTTGGCAAGGCATCACTAAAAACAGGTACTTCGATGATGTACTCACCAGTGACTAATGCAGAAACGGTTCATAATCAACAGTTTATCATGTAAAACCATAACAGACAACAATTTCGAAAATCACAATTATTTTCAATTACAGGAGCTGGACCTAATCACATCAGCGAAACCGATAGTCTTCATTCTGCACTCATTTCTGGCCACCAAAGTCTACCGATTAGGTCTATATGCTTGACGACGGACACGAAAGGTCAGATCAAGAGAATTTCGGAATAACAACAATTTTTGGGGAAGACTTAGTTCTGTGGTGCACCATAAGCGTCTGGCATTCGTTCAATTGAAAACCGATGACCAAGGATGTACATAATTGGGACGCCAGGAATTTTTCGTATTCTTCGTTTGAGATCACGATCACATGTTGCGACGATGTAACATTTGTGCTGAAATAGAAGTATTTCAGGGTAATGGTATCACGGACCAACTGAAAAGCAATTCCTCTCTACGCGATTGGGCCAGACAAGTACAATTTAGGTTTTGTTCGGTGACATAGCATGCCAAGGAGGAATTGTCATATCAATCTAATGCAGCTTGATCTGCTTCGCTATTACCAAGATACGCTAAAGATTGTAAAAATTTATGAACGCCTGTGATCTTAATTTGTGAATAATAAATGCAAGATACCGGTTGAAAGTTAAGATGTAAAATGATTTCCTTGTTCAGCAGATTCAAGAGGACCAAAATTTTTTGTGAGAAAACTAATAGAGAATGCAATTAGAACTAAGAAACGCGTGATGTAGTCTATGAATAGACTTACATCGACTCTCAAAGTTACTCTCACGATATATAGAGGAGGAGGAGGTAGGAAAAGACATACCCTAAAATTACATAACAAGAAAGGGTCACAATGCAAAAAAGGAACCTGTCGTTGAGAGAAAAGAGTTTGGTTGGGTTATTTTGCGAGTCAGTTCTCTAAACTGATACCCTACAACATAAAAAGGGATGGCACTTACTAAATTGTCTCATTTACGTGGGCTTTCTGTGAAATGATCTAGATTTCTCGATAAACAACCGGAAAACACTTTCTTGTTTCCCCTCCAGCACAATGAAATGAATCAATGAGAATCGAGAAGTTTGCGAATGAGAAAACCTGGATAAGAACGTATGACCTGTCAGCTGGCAACTCGGATTCGCGTAAACAGTAGGTGCGATTCAACAGCAAGTTTTGATGTATAAACAATCACTTGATTACGTGATGGGTGGGAGTCGAATTTGAATCGAACACGATGTCTGTCATGTAACGAAGTCATAAGAGCATCTCCCAATTTTCTGATCAAGTTCAAAACAACAAGCTCCCAAGTTTGAGTGAGTTTTAAGATTCTCAACGAGATAACCCGTGGTTGCACTTAAGCCAAGCACTTACACAGCACTCAGATAAGACAGCACTGATTCACCTGGGAATTTTAGCCAGGAAATGCTGTAAGTTAACACTCCATTTTAAGTCTTAAATCTAAAACTATATAAAATTAAAACTATATAGGGTAGCGTTTGCAGAGACCGCCACATGGAACCTTCTAGCTTTCTTGATTACTTTTTTCTCACAACATGTTGAAAGAAAAAAGTGAAGAAGAAAGAGGAAAGGAAAACGACCGAAAAGTGATTGTTAAAAACCAGGCCATATAGCAAGAGCTGGAAAAAACGAAAAAGAGTGAAATAATACCTGGGTGACCCGTTGCACTAGGCAGTCATCAGCGTAAATGCCCTTGTGGTCGCACTTTAAACGTTGGAATCGATTATCCTTTATAACCTTTAGGGCAATTTTGAATCGACGACCTGCCTTTTCCAGTTCGCCCATGACACAATCCGTTATATAAGGAATCGCTGAAAAATGGGAATACCAGGATAAACTTAACACGATTTGATATACAGTAAGGTATAATAGATTAAGTCGAACGACTTACTGTGGGCATAGAGGCAATCCCGAAATCCTTGAATTACGTCCAGCCTATTTTTTACTGCAAAATTAACAAAGTTCGTATCAACGAGTACGTGAAATGGAGGACCAAGCTGATTATTAAACTTCAGGAACATGGCTGATGAAATTTTTGGACTGAAATTAATCAACATTTACAAAACGATCGCTTGATTAATAAAAGTTTGATGCTTACGCCTGTTTGATTTTCAGCTCTTGTTCGTCTTCCTTCTTCTTGCGAATGATTCTGTTTTCTTCCTTTCTGAAATCATTTCGAATAAAAATTCGCCATGGCACCTCAATTCCCTCCATTTGCTCCAAATTTTGCTGACGAAAGCGTTTGTGTTTTTGCTCATGAGCACATTGTAAAAGGAATAAAACAATAACTGGACCAAGATTCGCTCAACAAACAGTGCGGAAAGAACCGATGGGAGAGAAATCAAAAAGCAGTTATACTACGCGATCATGATCACAGACGCCGCCAGAAATGAGGGTAGAGGGACGGCTCCGGGAAAATAGTGCTTTCCTTTCAGTAAAATGCGTTCATCATCAGATTATCATTTCGGTTTTCGCCCACAAAATTGGAATATTAATCGATTCGGACAGGGTTAATAAAGTTGAAGCGAAGTGAAGCTGACCCAAAACGCAAGCGCAAGTGGTGAGTAGCATTCTTACATGTTCAGAGAATCTTCCAGATCAGAGGCCTCACGGGAGAATAACTTCTTTTGTTCCCAGAATGCGTCAGAAAACCTGTCAGATTAGTAAACTCTTATGACAAATAGTAAGGAGCTTACATCCTGTTGTCGGTC